AGAACATGGTACTACAGGTTAGTCGTTGACACTAGCTTTGGAGAACATGGTACTACAGGTTAGTTGTTGACCCTAGCTTTGGTGTCGCGATGGGATTCTGTTTCATTTAGTGGGCCAATTGCAGATATGCGATCTGGGGCACTTCCAACAACTTGGAGCATGAGCCCTGCCACAGAGTCGGCAGCGTCAACACAATTTGAGCAGAGCGCAACAAGTAAGTGATTGAATACTTTTGCTCACAGCTTTCCCTCGCTGTAGAAATTCTGGCTCAGAGAAGAAGTAAAGGAGAAAATGGTTGCTTGCAGATACCGGATCTACACTACTTCCAACAACAGGAGCATGAGCCCTGCCACGGAGTCGGCAGCGTCAACACAATCAGAACATAGTACTACAGGTTAGTTGTTGACACTAGCTTTGGTGTCGCGATGGGATTCTGTTTCATTTAGTGGGTGCAGATATCGGATCTGGGGCACTTCCAACAAGTTGGAGCATGAGCCCTGCCACAGAGTCGGCAGCGTCAGCAAGTGAGTGATTGAATACTTTTGCTCACAGCTTTCCCTCGCTGTAGAAATTCTGGCTCAGAGAAGAAGTAAAGGAGAAAATGGTTGCTTGCAGATACCGGATCTACACTACTTCCAACAACAGGAGCATGAGCCCTGCCACGGAGTCGGCAGCGTCAACACAATCAGAACATGGTACTACAGGTTAGTTGTTGACCCTAGCTTTGGTGTCGCGATGGGATTCTGTTTCATTTAGTGGGCCAATTGCAGATATGCGATCTGGGGCACTTCCAACAACTTGGAGCATGAGCCCTGCCACAGAGTCGGCAGCGTCAACACAATTTGAGCAGAGCGCAACAAGTAAGTGATTGAATACTTTTGCTCACAGCTTTCCCTCGCTGTAGAAATTCTGGCTCAGAGAAGAAGTAAAGGAGAAAATGGTTGCTTGCAGATACCGGATCTACACTACTTCCAACAACCAGGGGCATGAGCTCTGCCACGGAGTCGGCAACGTCAACCAAAGAAGGTTATAGTTTGTTAGTCCTGTCTTTGGTGTCGCTTCGGGATGTCTCATTTCAAAATCTGCTTGTTGCAGCTATGGGATCCAGGCTACTTCCAACAACTAGGAACATGAGCTCTGCCACAGAGACCGCTGCGTCAGCACAATTTGAGCAGAGCGCAACAAGTTAGTGATTGAATACTTTTGCTCACAGCTTCCCCTCGTTGTAGAAGTTCTGGCTCAGAGAAAAAGTAAAGGAGAAAATGGTTGCTTCCAGATACCGGATCTACACTACTTCCAACAACCAGGGGCATGAGCTATGCCACGGAGTCGGCAACGTCAACCAAAGAAGGTCATAGTTTGTTAGTCCTGTCTTTGGTGTCGCTTCGGGATGTCTCATTTCAAAATCTGCTTGCTGCAGCTATGGGAACCAGGCTACTTCCAACAACTAGGAACATGAGCTCTGCCACAGAGACCGCAGTGTCAACACAATTTGAGAAGAGCGCAACAAGTAAGTAATTGAATACTCTTGCTCACAGCTTTCCCTCGCTGTACAAATTCTGGCTCGAGAAGAAGTAAAGGGGAAAATGGTTGCTTGCAGATACCGGATCTACACTACTTCCAGCAACTGGGAGCATGAGCTCTGTCACGGAGTCGGCAGCGTCAGCAAAATCAGAACATAGTACTACAGGCTAGTTGTTGACCCAGGCGTTGGTGTAGAGATGGGATTCCGTTTCGTTTCAAAGTGGGCCAATTGCAGATATGCGATCTGGGGCACTTCCAACAACTAGGAACATGAGCTCTGCCACAGAGACCGCAGTGTCAACACAATTTGAGAAGAGCGCAACAGGTAAGTCATTGAATACTCTTGCTCACAGCTTCCCCTCGCTGTACAAATTCTGGCTCGAGAAGAAGTAAAGGGGAAAATGGTTGCTTGCAGATACCGGATCTACACTACTTCCAACAACTACAAGCATGAGCTCTGCCACAGAGAACGCAGT